GCAGATGTGTGATGGAGTTCAGGTTAAACGCAGATGTGTGATGGAGCGCAGGTTAAATGCAGATGTGTGATGGAGTTCAGGTTAAAAGCAGATGTGTGATGGAGTTCAGGTTAAACGCAGATGTGTGATGGAGCGCAGGTTAAATGCAGATGTGTGATGGAGTTCAGGTTAAAAGCAGATGTGTGATGGAGTTCAGGTTAAAAGCAGATGTGTGATGGAGTTCAGGTTAAATTGTTGCGGGGTGACCGCAGGAAGACCCGCAGCTCTGGTTACCTTTTGCTCCTCTGGGTGTCCTTCTTATCCATGACGACGGGCACGCAGTTCGTGAGCTCGGTCCAGTCCGCGTGCAGCCCGCAGCTCCAGCCCGTGGAGAAGCGGGAGAAGAGCCACGACTCGTCCTTCCCGGGCCGGTGGCACGTGCACTTCTTCTGACCCGGCTTGCAGTCGCACGGCTGCTCCAGGCGGATATTCCGCACCAGGTGCCTCCCGAACGTGGTCCCGCCGGTCTTCTGGATGTGCAGGAACACGATCACGTCGTCCCCCTTGATGTTGAACTCCACGTGCCTGTCCAGGTCTCTCTCCGTGAAGTTGAATTTGGACGGAAGCTTCTGGGGACCGTCCTCGTCCAGGTCTTGGTCTCTGTAGAAGTCGTCTCCGTCTTGGTCCGGGGACCGGAGCAGGCTCACCCCGCGGAGCCGCTCCTCGGACTTGAAGTGGCACGAATTACTGCCCGCGGGACAAATGTACTGGTACCCTATCATAACAAAAAGGACAGCCAGGATGGGGACCAAAACGAGCTTACTGGACCTGTCATCCATCATCTCGAGATAGCTTTCATTCCATTCCAGTAAACAGTCGCTATCAGTGTTTCCTCAGATGATTAAAGACGCTCTTTAATCTGAGGGACACATGTTGATTGTCCTCCATCAGAGACGTGTCCCCGGACTGAGACAACACACTCCGTCTGCGCTGCGCGGTCCACCTTCAGGAGTCATGGCATCCCGCAACTTCTGAAGCGTCCACGGACAAAAGTCTCAGTCCTGCTCATCAGGGAGGGACCATCCCGGACTGGTTCGGTTCGGTCAGTCCACGGACAGAGGTGCAGCATCCTCCACAGACCGGATGAGACTCTCGGACTGAGCTGGAGGGGAGCTTTTTCTTTCTTCTTTTGAGAGGATGCTGCTGCATCCGAGCAGACTAATGTGCGCTATGCGCTCATCATGGACAGGAAGAGGTCTGCATCCCACCTCATCCCATCATCTGCTTTAACAGAGTCCAGTAAACCCACACAAGATTTAACCACACATTTAAACATTAATATAACTTTATTATGCGAATTCATCTCAGTAACCTTTGAAGAGTCAAACAGGAAATTATCTATCTATCTATCTATCTATCTATCTATCTATCTATCTATCTAT